CCTGCCTGCCCAGAAATACACCGCCTGATCCTAGCCACCCCGAGTCCCCTCGCGGCGCGGAGGCGGAGGCAAGGGCCGCGCTGGGCAAGGAGCTCCAGAAGGAGACCCGCGCGCACACGCGAGCGACGCCGTCGCCGCCTTAGCCACCTCCTCCTGCTGCGGCAGCGCAGACACAAAGGCGCACCAGCGACATAGCGGCACGCGTTCTGCCTGCCTACCCACCCACCCACCCGCCCGGCCCAGGCAAGCAGCGCCTTCCTTCTCCACCGTGCCACCCACTCCCCCATTCAAAATGGCTGCTTTGGGTTTGGGGGGGGGAGAGAAAGAAGAGCCCCTCTCCGAAAAGCAGCAGAGCTGCAGGCGTACGTTTCCCGCTAGCTAAAGGACTAGACTGGAAACGGGGAGCAACGTGATGGGGGGGGGGGAGCGGTTGTGATCGGGCGCGCACACGCAACGTGGTGCAGGGGTGCCAACTTGAATTAAATGTTGGGGGCGCTCAGGTGAGCCCCAGGCCACATGACGACGCAGCGCGCGCGCGCGCGCACCATGGCAATACCCATCCACTTTGGGAGCGGCCCCTCCAATAAATTATGTTGGCTCCTATGTTTTCGGGTGGGGGGCTTACGTGGAAGCGTGGGAGTGGCTCTAAGGGGTGTATGGTGGTTTGGATGGGCATCTGTCACTTGGGTCTACGTGGGTGAGTGCCATTGCGCGCTCTCCACGGGGTACATCTCTGGAGGTCACTGATCGGACGGGGGCAGGCAGGGAGGCGAGCTCCGACCGCGCTCCACAGCCATCCTTCTCATCCACGGGGGTGGGGGGGGGACACAGTGTTCTGCTTGCAACTCCCCGCTGCTCCTTTGGCGGCGGCCGCCGTTCATAGTGTGGGTCTCCCGCCCACCCCGCACCCCTCTCGCCTGCTCTGCCCGCTTCCCCCGTGTGTGATGCATCATCCACAGTGTGAGCTCGGACTTGGGCGCCTCGCATCCCAAAGCCAACGCGATCGCGGCGGCGGCGGCAGCAGCAGCAGCAGACCAGGCGCTCTTCTCGTTGCTTAAGCGACACCATTCCGACACAGTTAGCAACACACTCGGGCGGCAGAAGCGGGGACATTCAAACACGAAGCGGCGGAGACAATGGGGCTGGAACAGACGGCGGCCCCCTTCTGCCTAGAAACCCGGCCGCCCTGCCCATCTATTTTGTTAATTAAAAAAAAAAAAAAGATGAACTGGATGGCTCCGTTTTACGTTACCTGGCTTGGTCTCTCTCTGTGTGTGTGTCTAGTTTGGGTGGGCTGGTCCTAATCTTCCAGCCGCCGCCGCCGCCGGTTCCTGCTCGCTGCCACTGGCTGAATGGGGCGATATTTATTTATTTCCCCATGACGTGGCCTGCAGAGGCCGCCGCCGCCGCGAAAGAAAAGAGGCGGCACGAAAGACGCGGGGCCTTTTGTGCGCCGCGGCCGCCTCGGGCTGGAGTCGCTGGGAGGCCGCGCGCGGAAGAAAGAGAAGGAGGAGGAGGCGCGCCGCCGTCCCTCTCCGCCACCTGCCCCTGCCTGCTTTTTGTTGCGCTCCGAGGGGGATTGGTGTCAAGGGCAGCCGGGGAGGCTCGACCAGGAGCCGCTGCCACCGCCGCCGCCCTCGCCGAGTGGGGCGGAGGCTGCCGGGCGGCGGGGAGGCGCCTGCTGCCTGAGCCGCAACATCTCCAAGGTTCCCGGCGGCGGGAGAGGAGAAGAGGCGAGGCGAGGACGCGGCGGGGAAGGCAGGGCCCGGCGGCACGCGAGTGGCCGAGTGGGGCCGAGCCATGAGCGCGCCTAAGGACGCTGAACTGCGCCCTGAAGGGTTTGGGGGTGTTGGGGGGGATACAAATTGCCCCATAACTAGATCAGGATCGTAGGGACAGGATGTGGGGGGCAACCATTTGGCCACGCCCTGGATCCTCGGCCCACGCATCCAAGCAGGGGTGATAACTTGAATAAAATACAGTGGTACCTCGGGGGTTTTTGTCCATGGAGTTTTCTTGGCAGGGATACTGGAGTGGCTTGCCGGTTCCTGCTCCAGGTGGATCACGTTTGGTCAAAACTCTCCACTATGACCTGTCCATCTTGGGTGGCCCTGCACGGCATAGCTCATAGCTTCTCTGAGTTATTCAAGGCCCTTCGCCACGGCAAGGCAGTGATCCATGAAGGGGCCACCTCATGAGAAGAGAAGACTCCCTGGAAAAGACCCTGATGTTGGGAAAGATGGAGGGCACAAGGAGAAGGGGACGACAGAGGACGAGATGGTTGGAGAGTGTTCTCGAAGCTACCAGCATGAGTTGGACCAAACTGCGGAAGGCAGTGGAAGACAGGAGTGCCTGGCATGCTCTGGTCCATGGGGTCACGAAGAGTCGGACACGACTAAACAACTAAACACCAACGACCTCGGGTTACATACGCTTCAGGTTACAGACTTCATAACCCAGAAATAGTACCTCGAGTTAAGAAATTTGTTTCAGGATGAGAACAGAAATCGTGCAGCGGCAGCGGGAGGCCCCATTAGCTAAAGTGGTGTCTCAAGTTAAGAACAGTTTCAAGTTAAGAACGGACCTCCAGAACGAAATAAGTTCTTAACCCGAGGTACCACTGTATTGGGGTGGGGCAGGGTTTGCAGGTAAGCCTTTGACTGGACTTAACCGTCCAGGGGACCTTTACCTTTACCTTACCCCACACGGCAGGGCACACCCACCATTTGAATGGTGATGCCCATCAACTTGGGGGAGGGATGCGTGGGCATAGCCAGGATTTATTCTATTTATTTATTTTATTGAATTTATATAGCGCCCTATACCCGGAGGTCTCAGGGTGGTTCACAGAAAAGATCACAATATATACAATTAAAATAAGAACAATAACACACACAAAAAGAGCCACATTTAAAAAGGGTATAGGATGTCAATCAGGTCAGCCAAAGGCCTGGTTAAAAAGGAACATTTTTGCCTGGCGCCTAAAGGTGTATAATGAAGGCGCCAGATGGACTTCCCTAGGGAGAGCAATCCACAGATGGGGAGCCACTGCAGAGAAGGCCAGTTCTTGTGTTGCCACCCTCCGCACCTCTTGAGGAGGAGACACACGAAGGAGGGTCACAGAAGATGATCTCAGGGTCTGGGTAGGTTCACATGGAAGAGGCAGTCCTTGTAATACAGATATATACCTTGTGGTATTGTTAGGGATCAGAACCAAATTATCTGCAATGCGATTGGTCAGTTAAGTATTTTTTTTATTTATTTACTTGATTGCGGGTGGCAGCTGCCTCCCCTGCCCATGGGGGTCCAGCACTCAAATATTTTATGGGGGGCTACCTTGGCCCCCAGAAGTTGGCTTCTGTGCCTCCAAGTGGCATCAGGAGCAATTGACTCGTTGAATGAATCGCCACCACCAGTACAAATTGTAGCAGCTCAGCAGCACCAACCGGTGATGTCCTCTTCTTTCCTCCCTGGAAAACCCCCTTTTTCTGGACACCCAAGTCAGGGAGAGTTGGTTCCATGGTGCTCCCCATGGAGAGATCTACGACAGCCACTCTGGCATCCTTGCTCACTGGCACGGAAAGAGCATCCCACCTCATTCCCTACTACTCCAGCACAACAAATCTGTGTAAACACTCTGCAAGCAAGGCAGGATGAGTGCAGTCGTATAACCACCCCATAAATTAACCAGAACAAAAATCAATAAAGACCAGCAAATCAGGATGAATGCTAAATAAACAGGTGGTCTGGAGGAGCCCTCAGAGCAGTTCTCCCTGTTTTCCCCCTTTATTTTAAACCTATGTGAACTGGAATGTACCTTCTGTTTGAAAATCATTCTCCTTTGCTTTCCACTCACAGTGACACAGTCCCAGGAACACCTGTTAATAGCTGGGAATGCACATTACATGTTGTTGTTGTTGTCGTTTGAGTTGTTACAGGACTCAAAGCAGCTTACAGATAAAAACAAGAATCACTAAAAAAAAAGAAATAAAGAAAGAAACAAACCATTTAATAAACAATGAAACATTAATAGAATTGAAACTGTATACATATATAAAATCAGTTTGAAACATACACATAATTACAATCAGCACAGTTCCAGACCTTTCATTTAAAGCAGTCAATTCCCCCTAGTCTGCTGGAAGAAGATCTTCACCTGCTGGCAGAACTACAGCTCCCAGCACCCTTGAAAACTACAGTTATTCTTTGGTGGGGTGCTATAAGCATATGGTGTGTCCACAGCCAGAGACTCAGGTTGCAACCCTAGGCACGCTTTCCTGGGAGTAAGCCCCACTGAACAGGACAGAATGTGCTTCCGAGTGAATGTGTGTAGGATTGTGCTGCCAATGACATGGATCCTAAGTTTGTTTACTCAGAAGGAATTCTCCCTGAATTCAATGGGACTTTTGAAGAAGCATGCGCATGATGAAAACCTTCTTGCATTCTGGAGATTACATTTCTGAAAGGTAAACCATACTTGCGAGAATCCACCTAGTAAGGCCTATCGATTTTTCTTATGGTCTAAAAGAGAGAATTATTTGATGCAGACCTTCAAGCAAGATGGTATTGCAGGTATATCAGTTTGGTGCTGGCACCTGACAACTCCGGGATTTGTTTCATACCTGCTATTCCATGTGGCTGATCAGAGTATTAATAGGTCAGCACAGGTAGCCCAGTCTAAATAGGACTGGCCAGGCAACGTGCAAAACTACAGATCTTTGTGTTTCTTTTTCTGCTGCTACTTTCTGCACTTGCCCAATGCTAAACAAAACTGAGCTGTTTGGATGTAGCACCTGCGCTGATTTAACCCAGTTTGCTTATATAATGATCAGTTAGATACATAGTGATTATTTGAAACTTGTTTTAAGCACTCTTTTATTTACCATTTCTTATTTTGTTATAATCTATGTTGATACAATAAAAATACATAATCCTAGAACTGTAGAGTTGGAAGGGACCACAAGGGTAATCTAGTTTAACCGCCTGCAATGCAAGAATCTTACGCCCAGCGTAGGGCTTGAACCCACAACCTTGAGATTAAGAGTCTCATGCTCTACCGACTGAGCAATGGTCTGTTTCATAGCTACATTTAGCCTTCTCTCTTTCTGTATGAGCAACTAGTGTTCTTGCACAGATTTAATGTGCGCAAGTCAACCTAACCATGTGAGTTATGTTTGGTCATTGGATTTCCATTATTCTACTGGGATCTGTTCAGAATCAGACCCAATCTGGCCTTTTCCTAGATGCCTGCTGTGCCCTACAGATAGTTATCACCTATTCTCTGTCCCACAGTTAAACTTAATAACCAATATATCTGAGGGAGCGTCTCCACCCCCATTTTTAGCTCTGAGGGCTTTCTGGCGATTCCCTCACTGCGAGGCTACAGGGAACCAGGCAGAAGGCCTTCTCGGTTTTGGCACCCTCCCTATGGAACGCCCTCCCTTCAGATGTCAAGGAAATAAACAACTATCTGACTTTTAGAAGACAGCAGTCCTGTTTAGGGAAGTTTTTAATGTTTGATGTTTTATTGTATTTTTAATATTCTGTTGGAAGCTGCCCAGAGTGGCTGGGGAAACCCAGCCAGATGGGCGGGGTATAAATAATAAATTATTATTATTACTAAATAAGGTTGGGCAACAGGAAGTGTTAAAAGCTCCATCATGGTAGGCGTTCAGGAATCACACTTTCCATGATTTCCAGGGTCTTTTCACACTTCTGTGCATTATTGCAGCAACATTCAGAAATACATGGGAAATATTTACTGTGATTCACTTTGCCTCTGGATCCCACCTCACATGTTTGGGGCGACATCTAGGATCTAAAGGAGGGCTTGTATCTATTGTGCCTGCTATCAGATCTGCCGACGGTCCATGCATTCCGATCTTCCTCACAAAAAGGGGATGTGCAAAAGTCGTGTTGAGAATTGAAACTGCCTTTGTCGGTGTACAAGTCCCCTGCAATGTGTCACTGTAAGCAGATGCTTGGAGTCACCTGATGGTAAGGTTATCCTTGGTGCTCATTATTTCGCGGCTCGAATCAATCGGCTAGATCCCTATGTTGTATCGGTGCCATCCCACTGATGCCATTGGGTAGCAATTGTAACTAAGAATGGAAGTTGGCACAGTTTTTCCACAGAGCTGTTGCTTATGTCCCAAAGTCATACACCGCAGATGGCATGACAAGCATTGGCAGCTGTTTTCCATGGAACAGCTAGCCGTGCACAGTGTAGCTCTCTGCAGAAAACGAATGACAAGAACAGAACCACAGATAGTTCCTGGAAAACGGAAAACATGGATACTTGATCTAGACAGAAGCAGTCAAGGTTAAGTGTCATGCTGCATCCTTTAACCCAAAGAGGGCAGAGTAATGGAAAACATAAAGCGGAACTGTGTTTTGTTTTTAATTGTGGTGTTTTGGAAAGAATTCCTTGCTAGTTTTTCTTTTTTAGATCTGTAACCAATTTCCAGCAGCATAGTTCAGCCTGTGGAGAGGACAAGCGTGTCACAGAAATACATTGCCCTTTCCAATGTGATGGTGTTAATTTATGAAAGCTTCACAGCTCTGAAACTCCAGCATCAACATCTCCAACCGTATTTTGCCCACTTACGTTAATGCTGATAGAAGCAATCAGTTTTTAATAGGAACATTGTGCCATTCTGCTATCATGGCATATCATATACCTGTCAACTGGCCTGGAAAAACCAGGACACCCTGTTTTCTCCCCATGAGAGCATGATCGTCATTTTGGGCTCCTTGCTCTTGCATGAATTTGGTCCAGGATCTCATCCCGAAATGCTTTTTCGGGTCCTTGATCTCGCATGGCACCCCAAAATGCACATTATTGGGCGCTGTGCCCAAACAAGTGCTTTTTCTGGGTCTGCGATCTTACACAGGTCATATGACTCACAATTTTGGGCCAGGAAGGGGGTGTCCTGGCTTTGGGCTGCATCATGTTGGAGGGTATGATCTCATTGTTTCAGAAGTGCCCTTGCATTGCAGTGGGTTGAACTAGATCCCTTTGGATCCCTTCCTTCTCTACAGTTCTAAGATTCTGTAGTAATAATAATAATAATAATAATAATAATAATAATAATAATAATTTATTTATACCCCACCCATCTGGCTGGGTTTCCCCAGCCACTCTGGGCGGCTTCCAACTGAATATTAAAAAAAATACAGCATCAGACATTAAAAACTTCCCTAAACAGGGCCGCCTTCAGTTGTCTTTTAAAAGTAAAATAGTTGTTTATTGCCTTGACATCTGCTGAGAGGGTGTGCCACAGGGCAGGCACCACTACCAAGAAGGCCCTCTGCCTGGTTCCCTGTAACCTCACTTCTTGCAGTGAGGGAACCCCCAGAAGGCCCTTGGCACTGGACCTCAGTGTCGGGCTGAATGATGGGGATGGAGACACTCCTTCAGGTATACAGGACCGAGGCCATTTAGGGCTTTAAAGGTCAGCACCAACACTTTGAATTGTGCTCAGAAACATACTGGGAGCCAATGAAGATCTTTCAGGACCCATGTTATATCGTCTCGGGGGCTGCTCCGAGTCACTAGTCTAGCTGCCGCATTCTGGATTAATTGCAGTTTCCGAGTCACCTTCAAAGGTAGCCCCTCATAGAGTGCATTGCAGTAGTCCAAGCAGGAGATAACTAGAGCATGCACCACTCTGGCAAGACAGTCTGCCACAGTGTTCAATCCTTAGTATTTGTAACAGCTGTGGGGCAGCTAAGGGGAAAGCCTAGACCAAGCAGAGAGCACTAAACTGCAGTTTTAAAAAAGGAAAGCCCTTCTCTGGCTCAGTTTCTTTGAATGCACAGGGAACTTCCAGTATGTCAGCATACAGGAAAACGTAGTGCCCAGAGCTGAGCACTGCCCTTCATGCTGATGTGAATCTCAGTGGAATGCGGCTACACAAGTGTCATCATGCATGCCTCCTAGATATATTCTTTTGTAATGATAGGCATCAGATTGGTTGTGCTGTGACGTACGGTATTTACATTGTAAATTGAAGTCAAGTACGAAGTGTATTATAAACTTTTGCTCATGCGCAATGCCAAGGCAAGTGAAGTGGCTGCTCCTGGGTGCTGGGAAGTGGGGAGGCTTTTGAAATCCTTGCTCCCTGAAATTTGGCTGGTGTCCAATGTAATGGCATTCAGTCACCAGCTCAAAACATGGATCTTTATCCAGGCTATTGAGAATGGTGGCTGATGGTTAGTAATTGCTGTAATTTTTATTTTCTTGTGGTTTTTTTTCCTGATTTTATAAACACAGCTGTACCTTGGTTGATGAATGCCTTAGCAGTCAAACGTTTTGGCTCCTGAACACCGCAAACCCAGAAGTGAGTGTTCCCGTTTGCAAATGTTCTTTTGGAAGCCAAACATCCAGTGGGGCTTCTGGGGCTTCCGATTGGAAGCTCCTGCAGCCGATCGGAAGCCATGCCTCGGAAGTCAAAAGTTTTGGAAGTTGAATGGACTTCCAGAACGGCTTCCGTTCGGCTTCCAAGGTATGGCTGTACAGTGGTACCTTGGGTTACATACACTTCAGGTTACAGACTCCACTAACCCAGAAATAGTGCTTCAGGTTAAGAACTTTGTCTCAGGATGAGAACAGAAATTGTGCTCCAGCGGCTCGGCAGCAGGATGCCCCATTAGATAAAGTGGTGCTTCAGGTTAAGAACAGTTTCAGGTTAAGTACAGACCTCCGGAACGAATTAAGTACTTAACCCGAGGTACCACTGTACAGCTATTTTATAAATTACATTTTGCTGTTACCTGCACTGAGTAAGATCCCAAGAGGAAGGATCACACACACACACACACACACACACACACACACACGTACTCCCAACTCATGCAGGAGTTACATTCCAGGGGGCCCACACACATAAGTGAAGTCACGTAAAGTGGGGGGCACCCTCAAAACATACTTTAAATGCCCTCTCTGCTGCTCTCTCCAATCCACACCAAAAATACTGTATCCCAAAATTTCCACAACTAGACTTGAAGCTCTGGGGCCAGCAGGAGGCTGGAGGATGCATATGAAAGCGGCTGCACTACCCCACATGCCAGCTGTTAGGTGGGGAGGCAGAGCAGCCTAAACAAAGCCCCGCTCTGCCTCTGCTCTCTTCAGGGCTTCAGGGCTGCTCTCTTCAGGGTCTCACGAGCCACAAGGACTCTCCAGCTCTCTCCCACCATTGAACTGAATTATTTACTTATTTCCTGGCACCGTGCATATACAGAGTCATGCGTGAGTCCATTGTGCGTAAGTGGAGGGACAACTGTATGTATATATGATTTAAATAAATTATAAATCATTAAACATTCACATTCCAAAATTTGAAACCATTTTAAAAAGCAGCAAACAATAATTATTAAATATAACATCCATGAGATTACCTAAATGCAGAGCCCTCACCATCAACAAATGCAAGGTGGTGGGAACATAGTCCTCATGAAATTTATCAGCAACTTTTTAAAAAGCGTTGATCAGTATCACTGCATATCCTTCCATAAAATCTCAGGTGTGCTTTCTACCTTCCTAGGTTTCTGCAGCATATTTATTGATGTAGGCCAGTGGAGAAGAATCTTTTTTCAGTCTGAGGGCTCTTTTTTTTCATGAGAAACCTTCTAGCGTTCCCATGTAGTGGTAGAAAGGGCAAGAGGCAACAAGCAGGTGGATGATGATGATGAAGAAGATGATTTATTTATTTATACCCCACCCATCTGGCTTGGTTTCCACAGCCACTCTGGGCAGCTTCCAGCAGAATATTAAAATACAGTGATTCATCCAGTGTTAAAAGCTTCCCTAAACAGGGCTGCTTTCAGATGTCTTCTAAAAGTCTAATAGTTGTTTATTTCTTTGACATCTGATGGGAGGGCATTCCACAGGTGTAGCAAGGAATTTGACTCATCTTTGTTCAATACGCTACATTCCAACCACTCAAAACTAAGAGGTTTCTAAGCCCCTCTTCCCAGTCTTCCCACCCAGGAAAACAGAGGCAGCATGACAGGTCAAGGACACATTCCAGTGATGCAAAAGTATTTAAGAACATGAAGCAGGACTGGTGAAGATG